GCTTAATTCAAAGTGATATTTAAGATATGCCAACATAGACTAATGACTATAGATTGAAAGTATGCAAGAGTTTTTTGTTTTTAGGCCTTTGTTGGTTATTTTACTGTAATAGTAACTATCCATTTTCAGAAGCAGTTGGAATTGTGTTACAATTTTGATGAGTAATTAATTAAAAAGGCTTGTGCTCTAAATTCTGCTCCCATACTTGCATTCTACACGCATACAGGTTTCCATTGCACAAAGAATTATTGTTGTACCTGCCTTAGCTGCAGAGATATTGAGCCCTCAAAATTGAACAGTAGTAAATTTACTTTTTTTTTTTGAGAAAAATGGAAAAAAAACTCGGATCACACAGCTAATTCAAAAAGCAACAATCATGGTGTGCATCTTTTGCAATCTTCATAAAGGTGCTCACAAATTCGTAGCAGAGCTTCCAAGACAAGTGCCGGCAAATTATATAAAGAAGCCTAGAAGTTGGTTCCCCATTTTTTTTTGCAGGTTCTGCATGTTAACAGCACCAAGAATCTGGACAGTTAGAATGACATTACAAAAAAATAACCAGTTCCTGGTGTGTGAAAATTTGCAGAGATATAAAAATACTTGCAGAAACCAAATATGTCAATTTTAAAAAATGAATTTTTTTGTCACTATTTGGCCCCAAATACCAGTCTGCCCCCTTAACATGCCCCCAAATCTGAGCCCACAAGCCTGCAGCATTTTCGTTTCTATCGAAAATGCAGCCGTGGCAGCCGGTATTCGGTTCTGTGACCTGCAGGTCAGCAGCTGAGTGCAGGGATGCAATCGCTGCGCTCAATTGCACCAATTTTATACAATTCCCCACTGTTGCGCCAAGCTGTGCCAAAACCATGAAACTTGCTGAAATTGCGCCACGTTGCACCAAAATGTTCGACCGGCCTAAAAATTTTCTCAGTTGCGCGAATTTCAGCGAGAAATAGAGGCCTCATAGGCCAGCTGCACTTTGCATCATCAATCAAACCAAGTGCGCTGACCCTAACTGTAAATCGCACTATAAGTTAAATAATCGTAAGGTCAGGACACTCGCAAGACGCGATCGACCAGATAAAGTATAAACTGAAGTAACGACGCCGCGCGCCCATCGGTCCGCTCACCACAGAGGATACATATTGGTAGGACGACGGAACTTGAACTTAGAGCCAAAAAAAAAAAAAGCGTTGTCATAGCCACCAATGCTTCGCGGGAAATCGGAGTTTCTTAGTCAGGAAACGTGGTTATGGCATGTTAAGAACGTATGCCGTGTTTTCTGCGTGTGAACGAAGTTGGTGTGCTGGTGTGACACCACATTGGTTGCCGTAGCAACGGCTCATAAAACATTTTTCTGGCTTAGGTGTTGTGTCGTCCCGGTGATAGATATCTGGCGCTGCCGTCGGGCCAACGGGCGCTTGCCGTTGTTACCTCATCTGGTTGAATGCGCCTTGCAAGCAACCTAAGAATTTGTGCCGTAAATCTACCCCGCTGTGTAAAAAAAAAAAAGAAAAAGTGGGGGAGAATGTAGTGGTTCGAAAATTGCTCGGCCTTGTTCCAACACGAGCAGATCGCTGCCTAGGCCACCTTCGCTGCAGTACACGTGTGCTCTGCGGAAAAGTGTATTATGATTTTGAAGGGGCTCTCAGCACTAGTCATAGGACACAGCACATTTTGTAATTTTCGTTGAATCGCCCATTCATGTATGCACCACATAATTTTGAGTACTAGTAGGACTACTGCTGCCTAAATAAGTTACTGGCACTCATTTGGGGCAGCAAATGACATTTATGCTGCCCCCTTTCTCTGCCCCCCCCCCCCCCAAAGAACACCTTGTGCTCCAGTTGTTTTTCGCCACCCCTACTTCTTGGTTTTACGAATCTCCCGAAATTCAGAGCTGACAGCCACATTTGAATTTGCAGAGTCTCAAAAAGAATTCGACAGGTATGCCAAATGCTAATGTGGACTTTATTGGCTGTGTTCCAATTCTTAGACAGCATCGTAGATAGTCTACGCTGACAGCTTACAAGACAGCATCGAGCCCATGTTGTCTCGAGAACACGTTAATGCGACGAGACACCACCTCGCGCCGAGAAAAGAAAGCTAAGATAAACATAACTGTTACTTTTTTATTGCTTATTTCATGTTAAATTTTATGAATAATTGAAGGTTACTCACATTTAGCATCTGGAAAAGCATCTGCTTGTGTGCAGACGACTATTCCAGCGAGATCCGAGCATTTCGCTGAGCAGCCGTCTTTTTGGACAGCGAAGTAGCCTGTATCATATTTGTATCCGGTGCTGTTCTCTCGAAGCTGTCTATTTTGCTGGCTACGAGAGATTTGGAATGGGATTTAAGATGACCGCTGTCCATTGAGCTGACTATTTAGCCATCTACGGCGAGCATTGGAACACACCAATTGTTTGCCGAGTGGGGTAATTCAGAATACTACTACTTTTCTTGAAGAAGCAGTATTCATGTTCTCTTCACGATTTAGGTGGGTTGAATGTTTTGTATCATATATTTTTTTTCTAAATGTAAGCCTTTTTTTATATTGCTCGAATTTAGTATTTCACAATAAAAATTTTTTTTTTCCGTAAACTGCTCCAAATGTAACATTTACTGCTTCGAAAATTGCTCCAAATTCTATTTTGGTTGTTGCACCCTTGAGAGTGGCTTAGCGCTAGAACCACCGCGGCGGGGAAAGCCACGCTTCAAGGTCAAGTGTTCATATTACGTACCTTCACCTGAGTTATTTTTTTTTAATTGGAAACTTACACATATTATACATGCTAAGTATAGTAAAGTTTAAAACGTAATGTATTGTGCCACCTATAACTTGCACCATACTGCTATTTTAAGCTGCTTCCAATTCCTTTCGCCTCAAAAAAGGGATGTTCACACATGTTTCGTAGATTACTATAACTAGAGGTCAGCCTATATTCGTGCCCAACCAATTTTTTAGTAAATATGGTAGCCTTTATATGGTACTTAAACATATAAAAGCTCTCCCTGCATGCACTAAAGTGAGATGTCATTTTGAATGTATGATACGTGGAAGTGTATACATTCAGATTTTTTGTTTTCTGCATTCATTTGGAACAAATGCTAGGACAGGACCAAGAAAGCTGTTATCATAGCGGCTTGACAAAGGCCCCTGCCCCTACAGAATTTGGCAGCAGACATCACACGCAAACAAAAGAACAGTAATGCACTGGTATACAGATTATCTACTGAAAAAAAAAATAATAATTAGAACCCTGACATGTGTTTTGCAAATTTACAGCAGAACAAAAATTTATTTTTTACATAAAAGGCACGCTTTTTTGCGATTAGTACACAACTTGTACGAACACAATTGTAAAAAATATGTAGCGTAGTGAAACCATACAGATTTACAGGTACATCAGAGCATGTAAGTTGACTTTCACAAACAACATATATAAAAGATGTACCATATACCTAAGCAACAAGCAAAAAAAGCGAACACATATATGGCATATCTATTCACATATAACCACGCATCTAAGAAAATATTGCTTGAGATTCGACATGAAGTGATATTTTGAATAATGTTTGCACACTGAAGATCGTTAAGCAGTAGTGATATACGGTACGGTAGCCAGTTGGTAGGTTCGCGTTCGGTAGCTGGATGATCGTTTCGCGAAAAAGGGACAGTCCAAGTTTCACGCACTCGAATGTCATAGTTGAGGTGATGTGGTTTGCTTAAAACATTATTTATGCTGCGAAAAACAAAAAAAAGCATTACGGCATGTTGCATGTGTTCCTTATGACAGCCGTACAAGTCAATTATTTGCTCAGTTTAATTTTCTTATTCTGTGTTAATTATGAGTTTAACCTTGAGATTAGAAAGCGTAAAACAAGGCTACACTAAATTTATTTATCCTTGTAGCTTAATATCTTTCTGTGACTTTGTTTCCTATACTAAATTACAATAGTTAGCATGAGAGATAAATATTGTATTACACAACAGTAGCCGTATTTTTAATGGAAGAACATTTCTAAGCCTACACAGTGCTCTGCATGCTTTCGTGATATGTGTTGCAGCGTGTTTGATGTCGTTGCCCCAAAATAATTGTTTATTGAAGATTACACCTAGCGTTTTCACGTCAGCCGAGATGTCGATTCGTTCTGATCGATAGAAAATGTTTAGATTACGATTTACGTGTTTGTGGATTGGTGTTAAAAAACGGCTGGTGTTTCTTTGGAGTTAATCTGTAAAGATTTTGCTTTGCTCCACAAATACAGGCACTTCAAGAACAGTGTTAGCTTGTTGTGATAAATTATCAGCACTACGTGACTGGAAGAGAAGGCTGGTGTCATCTGTGTATACTGTATAATGTGGTTAGTGGCTAATGTTCACTAAATTACTTATATTTATGTCGAACAGTACGGGTCCTAATATGCTTCCTTGAGGAACACCGACTTCCAGCTTTAGAGGGTCTGAGTATTCACCTGAGATCGAAACATGAGAAGATCCAGTGTTAATCCACAGAATCTATAAATATAAAGTTCAAGCTTTATTGGTAAAGTAACATAGTTGATCCTGTCGAAGGCTTTGAAAAATCAATAAATACACCTAATAATTTTTTTTGGCTTCAAAGCCATTCAAAATTAAGTCCTGTGGTAATAGAGCCAATTCTGCTGATGGGTCCTTACGAAACCTAAATTGGCATGAAGATAATAGCTGATATTTTTCAAAAAACGACACAACCTTTTTACAAATAATCTTTTCCAAGCCTTTTGAAATGAAGGAGCACTGACACCAGCCTATAATTCGACATATCACTTCGGTCACCTGATTTGTACGAAGCAGTTACCTTTGCCTGTTGCATTTTCATTGGTAACACACCAGTAGTAGACAAGCAAATATTGAATATGTGGGCATCTACTAGAAAGTCAACATATCTGATGCCTGTACATTTTGTGGCAGGTTATAGGAGTAAGCACCTGAGTATACCTTGTTTGTGTTGCAGGTACACCACCACAAGTGAAAAGAGCTAATAAAAGGGGAAGTGGCAGCGTAACTGGCAAGCCTGATGGGCAGAGGAAACTACTGCATCACAAGCAACAAAGTGGGTCAACAAAAAAGGGGTCACAACTACTGAAGAAGGGCAAGACTGAGGAAGAGCAGGAGGATAAGAAAGCGAGGAAGCGCAAGCTGTCGGACTTTGAAGTGATGATGCAGCGACGCAAGAAGCGCAAGAAGTTGAAAGAGAAGGTGAAAGAAAAGCGTTTGCGCTCCCAGAAGGTGGCCAGGCTTCGAGCTCAGCAGAAGCAGGAGGTACCTTTCAAGAAAGTAAAACATAAACGAAGCCGATGAGAGTCCGATGTGCATTGCCAGGTGTGGCTGTACATTACATGAAGGGAAATGTATATGAAAATAAAACACTTGTTAATTAGTCCTGACCAACATTGGGAGGGACAGAAAAAAAATGGTTTTGATCAGAGGTGTTTTCGGAAGTGTACAGTGAAAGTTCAGTTCTTGAGTGCCTTTTATAACCCTTGTCTTTGGAATCTCAGATTATGATGCTACCAAGCCTGCAGTGCAAACTCCCACTGACCAAAGGTAAGAAAAGTTTTGCTTGTCAGTTTTGGAAATAAGTTTTGTCTTATGTAAGTGTGACAGATGCACTTTCTGAAAAAAATAAAAAGGCAAATTCTTTGGTGCATTTCTCAAACACAGCATAATTTTTATTTACGGATGTCTTGCTTTTTGAATGCGAAGTTTAGCTCACCTTCCAGTTTTATACTTATACCAAAGGGTGCTTGTGTTGCATGTACACCTATAAATAGATTAGGGGAAGTGTGAAACATTGTACAACCTATATGGCAATTGTCAAGCACTAGTTCATTATGTCGATGTGATAGCATTGAGAGCTCACTTTGCACAATTATGGTATTGGCAGCATTGATTGTGAGCGAAAAATAGAGAAAGATGCAAATAAAATAATGTTTGGGTTTCATAATTGTATCCACGCTGTCTGCGTGGCAAGCAAGCACAATCCTATTTGAAATTGGTTTGGCGAAGGGAGAGGGGAGGGACTATATGGGTGTCAAGTGGAAGGAGTCCAACGCATGCTATATTGCGTGGCAGAAGCGCAGAATTTCTTTAGGAGTCAGAACATGTGAATTGTGCAATGCGTGGGTGTTTTGAAGGCCCGCCAACTGCAAAGCACTCATTTTTTAGTCATTATCATCAGCAAAAGCATCAAGAAAGTGAACGGCCATGTAGATTCCCAAGTTGCCCTATGGACACGTAGTGGGCCCTGTTTGCAAAAAAGAACTGTGGCGTAGTGGGCCCTTAACTGTACTTGCATAGACATTTAACACAAGGGGGATGACTGTACTACACTCGTATGAACCAGACACACACGTGTGTAGCGCAGTTATCTCCTTTGTGTTAATATGCACCAACTCGCCCAGCAACAAGCTCTAAACTATTCTAGCATACTTTAAAAGTGCCAACGTTAAGCGCATAGCCGTTCGTTTCCTTACGGCGCAGTTGTGACATGCACAGAGAACCAAAATCAGGCTAGAAATTTAAAGGGCGATGTGCACGAGGCCCAATTACGTTACCGCATTCTACTCTTGAAAGGGAAGCTCAAGCATCCTCCAACTGTTTTCGCCTTTGCGGTTGATGCCCTTGACATGCAGCCTATTGCGGTTTATCCTTTTATCATTCTTGCATTTTTGTAGGGACCTTTTTGTAATCGTAACTTCACCACAGAACAGCTTTCTTGTATTATGACCGCTTCAAAGACGTATCTCTTATGACGAAAATCACGCAGAAGAAAGAAGCCCCGGCATTTGGGGCTCGCACTCTTTTTGCTTAAATATTGACTGGTGCCACCGTTCATTGCACAAATGGGAAATAGAACAAAGCTATATTTTTCGGAAAAGCTAATTTTTGTAATTTTTACTTCGTATGAAGTATTGCATTCTGTATTCTATCAGTCATCAGCAGTAATTGGCAGTCGCTCGTGTTGATATTTCTACATACTTGCGTTAGCATGAGCATGCATTAGAGCTTGCTTTAAAGGAATGTAGATGCTAAAATCATCAGTGAAGTTTTCACTAACTTTCCTTAAGAGATGGAAAACCTCCTTGTGATGGCTTGAATTGGTATCACATGGTAGTAACATGGTGTAGGGTATCAAAGCAGTGGTGTTGGTGAACAGATGTGCCATCTGTGACATTTCGTGTGTGCCTCCAGCTAGCGTGACAAGTTCTGCCGAAACGCAAAGAGAATACTGTTATTGCCATCATCGTTGGTAAAATCCTCTATGAGCATGCACTCGTATGTAAGCTAGTGAAGCTTGAAAACCATTTTGTTTTTTAATTCTGCTCATGGTTATGGTTGTTTGGAGTTATATTCTCAAAAAAAAAAAAAGTCAATTTTTGTTGTACACGTCTTCAACTTCGCACCTTTTGCTGCTCTCTTCTGACAATGTTTCACTGATATCTACTGCAACAAGTCTGTAAGATAAGACACGCTTCGTTTCTAGACTCTAAATATCAAATGGGTAGGTATAAGTTGCCTGCTCTCTGTTGAAATTCATTGAAGGTACTGGACCTCTTGGGTTGCTTATGGCAAGCAGGCGAATAAGAAATAACACCTCTTCGGCATCAAATTAATATCTCCATGCGCTTTTACAGGCGTGAATGCACACACAAATGCACGGATTGTAACATGACAATTCAGGGCTAGGTAACGCACATGTTTTCATTTCCACCATTTTCAACTCTGGTCATAACGGCACAATTTTTACTCATTGAATAGATCAGAGTCAACATTATCTCCAGAGACCAGATTCGTGATGTCATGACGTGATTATCTCAAGCTATCGCGCATACAAGTATGATAAACAAACTAGCCCCCCAGTGCACTTCAGCTAGCTCACATGCTTTATATATAGTTCGATGTGCATGTACATCATTCATCAGACATTCAGAACTGCTTCTCACCTGACGATCTAATTCGTGCAGTATCGATTGTCATGTGTGTTTATGACGGTAGCGGTTTTATGTGAAAGGTGGCCATATCAGCTATTCAAAGAAGAAACGAGCGTTATCGCGGAGGCTCACGTTGGGAGCACAGTTATAAAAACTGCGTTAGTAACCTCACTCCTAGTACGTGTCATACACGCAAATAGTCTAAAACAATTTAGAAGTTTCTCGAACATTCTGGCGCTGGCTGCACTGATCAATTTTTTTCATGGGTATATCAATCATATGAAAAAGAAATTAGCTAGCGTGGAATATCACCGCTACTGTATACAACCAAATCTCTTTCAACGACCCACCCACAACTTTTATACATGTACCCACCGAGAAAATTAACCATAAAAATAAAGTCATCCAATAAATTCGGCTATTCACAACTAATACAGTTGTGATTGTCATATTGGTTTTACATCATGCTGTTAATTATTGCCTGTACGTATTCCTTGCACAACTTGTTTAATTTGCAGTAAAAGTTCGTTTTGTAACAATATTTCTGGGTACAAAGTGCATCTTGGGTTCTCTCGAGAGAACCCAACATGCACTAAGCATGCAGTTTATGTAGCTGCAATTAATACAAAAAACTTGGTTCCCTGATTCATCAACTGCAATAACCTTTGTTGTGCAGTGACGATGCACATGTATGTGCACAGTACACATTAAGAGATATGTGACCATACTTGAAGTCATCTGCCGTATTAACTAAACAGTACTACTGTGCAAATCTGATTCTTTCTGAAATGTATATCGAAAGTTTTTTACCAATTAAATACGTAGCATTTAAAAGACATTTCTTTTTTGTCCAGCTTTATATATATATATATATATATATATATATATATATATATATATAAAGAGAGAGAGAGAGAATTGCTGGCTTATGCTTTCATAACAGTTTGGCAAAAGTGGCATACTTATTACATACCAGAAGTAATTGGCTTTAAAAAAAAATGACTTCCAGAGTCATTTCTTTTGTGACCCAGCAAACATTGCCCTGACTTGATGCAGCATATTTTGGGTCTATTATGAGTCATAAGAACGCTTGGCATAGACACACGCTAAAGAATGACTGGTATATAGATCATAACAAAGGGAAATAGCTACATTGAGGACAGTATAGGTGCAATATTGCTTGTGACCTTGGTCTGTGGTTTTCTCTCTTTCCCTGTTGAAACAAAGATATGTATACTCTGTTCTTTGTCCTAATAACTCAATTAGTAATTAGTCACTAAATGCATACTCGTTTTCGGGACGTACTTATATTATAGAGAAGAATATCTGGCGTCACAATATCACAATATCTGGCGTCCGCGCGACAGGACTAAGCTCTCGCGTTACATCTGAGAGCCTCACGTTGTTTGTGTGTGGCGGACGAGAATGGACGACAAGAGAAAGCTAGTTGAGCTAGGGAAGGAGATGGGGCTGAGTGGAGAGGCTTTGCTGGCATGGGTGAGAGCTGAGGAGAAAGGAATGAGGGACCAGAGAGCGAAAAATCGAGAGGAGGCATGTCTAGCAGCACAGGTGGAGCATGAGCGTGAAATAGCTCGCATGGAGGCCGAAAGGCTCCTGCTCGACGAGCGACGTCGTGTCGCAGAAGCGCAGCGTCCGAGCACGAGTTCTGCGGACGATAGCATGGGTGGTGGTCAGAGTTTCCGCAGCCCACACAAAATGATTCCGCCCTACAATGAGAGTAGGGACGAACTGGATGCATACATCCAGAAATTTGAGAGGGTTGCCACGAGCCAAGGCTGGCCAACCGACAAGTGGGCCCTGTCACTGAGCTTGTGTTTAACGGGAGAAGCCTTGACCGTGGTAGAACGGATGTCTGCAGAAGACTCTACAGACTACGCAATGGACTTCTGTAAATAATGTTATTGTTTTGGCTATTTTTTTTTGCTTTTGTTTACTCCAGCCCGTACGCTTGTAAACAGTTGTTTTCCCCCTAAAAAACTTTCTTGAGCAGGGGGAAAACAACTGCGTGTTGTTTTCCCCTGGCTCAAGAAATCTGTGTTGTTGTTTTATACCTGGCTACAGCAGTACAGGGGCAATGCATACACCCGTGGCATCAACAAAGCCATAGAGGAAACCAGTGTATGAATACTACCTTATTTGAAATGCACATGATTGTGATATTGTATTACATATGAGTCCTAGGTCTTCGGAATCATTTGTCCTTTCTTCTTCAGCTTTAGAATTTCTGGCATAATTTTAACTTCCTGCAAGAATGGTAAACTCATTTCCTGCTTTTTTTGTTATTGATTCTATGCATACCAAAGCAGAGCTTCTGCTCCTATTCTAGACTCTGACATGAATAACTCCCTCATTTATTGTGTGGAGCACTTTTCACAATGTGCTTAGTAGTAGCACCGAAAGGCGGGCGAGTTGGAACTTATCCATAGTGGGCAGCGCACAAAAGGAAACACACAAGAGAAGGAATCAGGACAAGCGCTGGTCTAACAACTGAAAGTTTTATTTGAAAGAAAGCATATATATACATGTGTACACAGAAAATCAAGTGCTACGCAAGATTACTTCCGATCAATGAAACCAATCTCCTGTTCAGATAAAGAAACAGATGGCTGGCTAACGCAAATGCCAACACTCTTCGCCATGTGGTAAGCCTCAGCAATCTCACGTGTCCTTTGATTATGATGGCGGTCGATGATTGCGGTTTGCT